CCATCTTCCTTCTGAGGAGTGGCTGGTGGGTTTGAACCACCAGCCTTCTGGTTAGCAGTCAAGTGCCTTAGGCACTATGCCACCAGAGCTCCTTCCTGTTAATTCTTTTCTTGGGCCAAAGGTGCTTAACCCCCAAACAGATAATATTAAAACTACCTCTCAATCCCATAAACAGCATTCCATTTTCCATGCTTTCTTTCTAAATCACTTCAAACTGTTTTTCATTCTAATTAATTCCTTCCCAGAAAAAGAGAAATTACTGAAGTAAAAAACTGTCACAAAGTCTAGATCTTGGATGAGTCATTGTTCTTAATTAAATGGTGGCAAACATTGCAAAGATGAATGGCAGCAGAATAAAATCCAGAAATTTAAGGAAGTATTCTCATTTTTGTTTCACAGAGAAATATTAGTAAACATCAGACAGAATATGTATGCAACCAACATGAAATAAAATATTGGGGGTTATGAGAAATGGCAATGTATTTCTATGAATTTTAAATGAAGATTTACTGAAAACTAAAGTGTTCAGGTTTAATGAAATGAGATTTAAGTTCTCTTTTTCAGAGTCCCCCAGGCTTAACTACCCAAGGAAGGGTAGTGCTTGACTCAGGTCTGGCCCCTGCTATATACAATTAGCTTTTCAATTTATTAGAGTTCACAAATTAATTAAACAATCCTATACACAAAATTGACTTAACAAGTCTTTACATCCTAATTGATTTTATCAAGATGTTATTTTGTCTTCAGGTTCTGGTACTTATTCAGGATTGCCAAAATCCTATTTTGGGATGCTTCAAGCAATGTGCTACTTTGAATTGGAATGAAGGAAGTACAGTGTAATTAGAAGTAGAGTGGGTTAGTTCAAGCTGGGACCCGAACCTCTGGATGCAGTCCCTGCTTGGTTTGCTTCTCTGGGCCTCAGCTTCCTCCACCTGAAAACAAAAGTCTTGACCTATAGATCACCGTGAAGTTCTCTTCATGCTCTATTAGATTCTAGTAAGCTCCCCTAGTAAAAACTGAGTTGTGTTATCTTCTAATTTTTGATAAAGATGAATTATAAATAAGCCATCCACAAACCATTCCACAGATAAGTTTGAACACCACTATTTTGTTGGGCTACTACAGAATGGTTTCCTCTACCATTGTGCTATATAAGAGTAACTAGCCAAGGAGGTTTAAAATTTGACCTTAACTTCAGCAAATCAAGCTAACTGAAGTACAACTGGTCCATGAAATAATTATAAGGAAGTACTGCATATATATTGTCCACCAACTTCCTCTCACTACAGAAATAGAGAAATGAGGTGGCTTTTTTTTTTTTTTTTTTTGAGAAGCTAGTTGCTACATTTACCATAACTATTGAATTTCTTTAATACGTTAATTTCCTTTTTTTTCTACTGTAGTTTGTGTCATGCGAGAATCTATTTACACGGACTAAAATAGAAGGATACTAGAAGAGTGATCTCGAATTTTAAGTCTGAAATTTAGTATTACTGCCCTGAACAATACAGTCTTAGTTGGCATAAACTCCTGGTACAGGTAAGTGATCATTTATCCAGTTTTAGCTTAATAGTTAACTATAGAAATTGTAACAGGACTAAGCAACTGTTAAAATTGTGAAAACCAATCATGAAGAAAGGTGGTCAACACAGTAATTATGTAGATGATCCTTAGTAACCACAGCCAAAGTTGTAAACTGGTAGGGGCAACTTCTAGAAATTTTCTGGAAACAATTCTGTATATACAGCGTGTGATTTTTATTTGATCCTTAAGCTTTATAACATTTTCAAATATTTAGAAAAGAAATATCTATTCATTTTATAACCAGTGTTTACCTTTAAAAGAGAGCTAAATAGTAGATACAAGTTTGGTGTTTAGGAAGCTGAAGATGGTAAACTTGGTTGTGCTTTGTTACAGTGATATTCCTTTATGGACTCAACTGTGTAAAAAGGTTGCCTCTGATAAGTTGCTTGTTTTTTTTTAACCTCCCTTTTTTTTCTGAAGCACTTGCTAGCATGAAATGGGAAAACAAGACAGTAGAACTGAGTAATATATTAGATGCTGTGTGAGGTGGTCCAGTTGAAAAAGGGAGTACTATTGATCTTAATACAGAAGCACGATTATCTTTACTGATTTTGATATATCGTGATTATCAACAGAAGGCAGGCACTAGTTAGTGCCTTTCTTTAATATCATAAAATGAAACTTCATTATTTACATAAATTCAAAATCTACTTTGAGTAGATTCATTTTCCTTAAGAAATAAAACTGGCTCATTTCACTCTACTCAACTGATTTTTTTAAACCATGGGGTTACAGATTGGGGTATGTGTGTGTGTGTGTGTGTGTGTGTGTGCGCGTATGTATAAAACTGGGTCTATACTAACTGCAACCAGATTCCAGTTCACCAGGCAACACTAGATTCAGATAAACTCACTCTGAAACATGTAAATTATTTTCTAAATAAAATTTACAAGTGAAGGCTAATGAGATGATAAAGACATTACATTTACATACTAATTAAGAGTCTCAGGTACCTGAATCCAAAGCCCTCAATTTTTCAAGTCCTTGGGTAGAGGTTGTTTGGCTTAAAAAATTATTTCAAGATTATACTACTATATTTTAGAAAAAAACATATTTCTGTAATCTAATTCTCAAAGAGAGGTAGAGAGAACAGCCTGGGAGTGGAGTGGGGCATATAAGGATCTCAGAGAGCATTATGTGGTAAGATTTTTATGTTGATCAAAAAAGAAAATATGGCTTTTTTTTAAAAAAAGATTGAGAAACCCTGCTCTACATTATAAAAGGGTGGAGAACACAGTACATAGAAAGCTTATGATGAAGGAAGACACAAGAGAAATGTAGCAGATTCTGAATAGATCTTATTTGACCAGAGTCCCATAACTTTTCTTGGTTATGACTCACCTGAAACAAATGAGGAATTAAGGAGAAAAACAAGAATAGACTCTTCACCACTTCATGTATACCCTTTAAATCAAGAAAGTTTTTAAAATAAAGACAAAAAGCAAAAAAACACACCTGCATTTATGCTGTTATTAAAACGTGCTCTCAAAAATCCAAAGATACCAAATTACACACAAGGGACACATGAGGGAGCTCCAACCAACTAGCATAGCAACTATAGTCTGGCATACAATTTTTAACTTTTTATTTTAAGAGTTTGTTTTACATCCAACATTACATGTACATTTAGTTTCACTCCCCATTTACCATCCCCAACCCTAACCCAGTCTCCTCCCCTCCCTGCCCAGTAACTCCCGCCCACCCCCCACCCCCACCCCCTCACAGTTATGCACTCTGTTTGTCCTGCATTTCCTGTGTGTGAATGTTGCTCCCCTGGTGCCCTGCTGTCAATTGCTCTAAGGGATGCATTTCTATAGAGTATGTGGGTGCCTCACCCTGGGTTGAGTGGTCTGCATGAACATCTTGTTTACTTTTGGGCTGAGCGACAGCCCTTGGAAGTAATTAACTTCTTAATGAAGTATATTTCAGTTTAGTATTAG